CCAGTCACTGTTTTTCTTTGTGTGACTGGAGCGTGAACCACCAGATGCTTGTGGTTTAAAATAGGGTGTTTAGCCCTGCAAAGGTGTCCCTGTGTATCACTTTACTGCGTTTATCGAGCTGTTTTTTGTGTAAATTTAACAAGTTTCAATCAAATTTTAGCGCAGCTAAGTGGGTGGCAAATGGGCCTGCAGCCATTACCTTCGTATTTCCCTCCTTATCTCCTGGGACAAGTCAAATCTGTCCCAGCAGAGTAGTCTCCCATTAAAGCTGCGTCCATACAGAAAGCCGTTTACTAGCACACAATCTCAAAAGTTCAGTCACAGCCAATCAGCTACGCAGCCACCAACCCTTCTCATCTCAACTTTCCCCTCCCGGCAGGCTCGACGCGGCGCCATTGCAGCAGTCTTTGGTATCATTTAGCTGCCTCTCCAGAGAGTCTGACGCAAACATTCGGGACTGCAGCAGGTGATGTGTCAGCATTTCTGAATGAGCACGTTGTGAGCTTACAGTATGCTTGTAATTGTGCAAACTGCTTCGCAGCCTGTGAAAGTAGCCCAATGTGTAGAGCTATATTTAATATATACATATATGGACACAGGTGACAGTTTGAACGCAGGCTCCTCTGTCATAGTTTATTTCCATGTGAGACGGGACACCAGAGTAGCCCGCAGTCTTTATGCTTAGTAAAAATCTTTCTATGTATGTTTGAAAACCTGTCACGTCGCGTGAATCGTAACTTCGTAACTTGAACTCTGAGCGGTTTGTTATGTTATTGTTGGCTGCTATTTGGCTGCATGTTTACGTGATGAGGCTACAGCAGTAATGACTCAACGTAACAATATCTCAAAGCGGATCAATCCAAAGTGAAACCATGCAGCGCCTCGCTGTGAGCTGCTGACAACAACTAACAGCATGTGTGTGTGCGACCAGAGGTAGATTTAAGCCTACTGTAACTGTTAGGAACAGATCAATAGTGTTATCACTCTCTCTGTCTCTCTCTCCCTCTCTCTGCTTACTCTCGCTCTCTCTCTTTCTATCTCTCTCGATCTTTCGCTCGCTCACAAACACACGCGTGCGCGTCCGAGTGCACTTGGAGATAAAGCGCGCTGATCGATAACTCTATAGTGCTAACAGAACACTTCCAAAGCAGTTTAAAGGTTTATTGCACACACTCAACAACACAGCCATGACTCTAATATCGAGGATTTCCAACACATTCATTACACCTGAACTCATTTGAAAACTGTTCCATGAAAAATCAGCTTTAAGGATCTCTTTCACTGGAAACACATTAAAGATTCTGCTGCTACACTGTAGCCAAAGTTTCGGTTCGTACACCAATCAAAAGGCACCAAAACGGACATCTTTCCCCCCCCTCGCTTGCTGGCATGAAATGAGCAGCGGGATTCTTCGAGTCTTTCATTTGCTTTTTGGTTCAGTCCTCTGATTTGCTGCTATTTTGCTGTTTAAGCTGCAGAACGCATCCAATAACTCATCTAACCAGAACAAATACAGCGATGATAAGGTGCTGTAATCAGTCAGTCATTGTCTTTCTCTATCCCCTCTTTCCTCTTTCTGCCCACCCTCCTTCCCTCCCTCCGCCGCCCCGCGCTTCACATCATCAGTCTCCCCTTTTTTCCTCTTGTGTCACCCCTCACCCCCACTCCCCCCTCTCGGTTCGTATTGAGTTTGCATTCTGCTTCCAATAAACTCTCGTCAGGATAAATATGAGAGGAGTGAAAAACAAAAAAAAAACAAAAAGAAAAAACTAAACAGCGAGCAGGCGATAACAGAGCATCCATGGATGTGTGGGAGAAAACAAAGTGAAAGAAACACTCATGGCCATGAATGTACTCTCTCTCTCGCTCTCTCTCAGCAGCCATAAGAAAGTGTCGAAAGTATATTTTAATTCCCTCCTTCTCTCCCCCTGCTTTCTCCTTCTCTGTGCCATATGCTCAAAGCTCCATCTTGGGCTCATTTGCAGTCCTGAACACACACACACACACACACACACACACACACACACACACACACACACACAGACACACACACACACACGCACACACACACAGACACACACCAGCTCTATCAAAGCAGAGGAACAGCTGGCTTGCTCGATATGGATGACTACTCGCCTGTCAACTACTAGTTTCACATAGCACGCACACGCGCACACACACACACAGAGACACATGCACATCATCATCAAGTCCTGGTTCTGTTTGGAGAAGGCGAGCGAGCGAGAGATTCTGGTTTTGTCGGGACAATTAGCCAGTGTGAATATTCACCGAGATAATATTTAAGGAAATATTACAGGAGACTGGAATGTAATCAAAAATTGCAAACACGCACTCAGGCTCATGACATCAGAAGCAAAATGACAGTATGTGTCGCTGTTAACGGTCTCACACAGATGCTCATGAATAATTTTATGTGTCAAGTTAGGAGGGGTCTATTTTACTATACACTCTCCAGGACAAGTAGTGCTGCGGTATAGAGCCATTAGTGTGATAACTTATTTTACAGTTAGCATCAGTATTTGTCTAATACAGTGGTTCCCAAAGTATTTTTGCTGGGCCCCCCTTTATTTTACAAGAAAAATCCCCCCCGCACACGCACAAACACATCCTCCAACCACACACACCCATATTTTGCTCCATTGCGGTTTATTTCACACCTCAAACATTTAGTAAACAATTAAGCAAATACAAGTGATCTGCAATAAATTTCAGGTAGTAAGAAAATAAACCACTAACTCTTTTACGCTACGTCCGCACCTACACGGTTATTTTGAAAATGCAGCTGTTTCGTCCACACGTAAACGGCGTTTCGAATCACTGAAAACTGAGATTTTTAAAAACTCCTCTTTTGCGTTTATGTGTGGAGAGGAATACAGAGTTCGTCACGCAACGCCAAAGGTATGTGCCTTTTTCATGTCACGCTGTGCGCCACGTTATTGTTTACGTGAGATGAATTGCAGAATGGCAGATTGTCAGATTAACAGTATTTTGTCTCTATCTGCAGTATTTACAGGCTTACATATAAACACGCAGTTACTGTCCCTCTATTTACAAAGGCAGAGGCGTCACGGTGTAATTATTTTACATGTAGTTGTTTTTTTCCTGTGTAATAATATTCAACATTGCTGTCAATACATTTTTCAAAAATGTCTCTCTGTGCAAAATGGGTTTAAAAACATAAACAGCTGTGGGATCCTGTTTGTCTGTGATTTAGACAAATCGTGGCAGGATCAGCCTGATGTTATTTGTATCCCGCTGTAACTTTTCTGTATAAAGAGCTAATATCTCCAAAATGTCAGGAGTAGTTAGTCATTACAACAAGTGTTTGTGAACTAAAAATCAAGAATGTGGGATCCTGTTTGTCTGTGATTTGAAGAGTCCAGCACTGCTCCCAACGAAGGGAAAACCAATTCTGCAGGGAGACCTACCTCGGCACTTGTGCAGGTGAAGCCAAAGGGAAGATTTGCTTCACCATATTTTCTAGTCTTTGGCTTGATTAAATGAAAACTTGTTAAACAGCATTGCATCCATGTGATTTACTAGTTTAAAATTTTTGTATGTTGCTACAAAGTTCAGCATAAACAGGATATGGTCTGCTGGCTTCAGTCGCCGTGACAGTGATTATACAAAGGTGGTTATTAAAGTTGTACATTTTCCAGAAATACAGGGCAAATTTCAAAGATTAAAGATGAAAGGAAAAAAGTGACAATTTTATGAGAAAAATATTTGCAAACTTACTGATTTCAAATTTACAAGATTAAAATTGTAAATTTGCATTAAAAAATTGACACATTTAAGAGAAAATGTATTAGGTTAAAGTGATCATTTTAAAAGAAAAAGGTTTGATTAAAACGGCAAATGTAAGACAGAAACTGTGGACATTTATGGCTTAAAGTGGGAAATGTACGAGATTCAATTGTAAGTTAAGAAAAATGAGTTATTGAGTTCAAAAATAGGAATTTCTTTCCATTTTAACCTTGAAAAGTGAAACAATATGGCACTGACTGCAAAAAACTATGTTTCCATTCTTTGGCATGAATCTGTCATTCAGACACGTATTTATTTATTTCCTCTGCCTTCTGTGGCCCTAATGCTGCTGTATAGTCACCATGTTGCTGTGAATCACTGTTGTTCAATTAATCTTGTTGTCATTAAGACAACATAACGTTTGACTGTAATTTTAACACCATTATTAGAGCATCAGTGATACGTTTAAGGTTGTGCTGTAGTGACTAAGACCTTTCACCTGTTTTATTTGAGGTGCAGTTAAACGGCAAGAAATTCAAACTGGTAAGGAGGCTAACATAATTTTATATGACGTTAATATGTAGCAATATTTAGGTGTCCTAAGCGTTTATTTTATACAGCAGTTAAACTCCTTGAACTTGCTTAAAGATCACACGGGGAAACAGTTGCTATACGATCCTACATTTCACATGGATCCTCTTCAAGGAGGAAATTAGGAATACTGACACTTTTTTCCACAAAACTGGTTTTTGTGTTGGTTTGTTATCTTGAACATAACCTGCTCCGGAAGTAAAAAGTAGAATTGGGCTGAAAGATCTATTGCTTTATCACCTATTCAGGTTGTAAATCGTGTTTTTAAAAAGTAACTAAGTAATTAATTACTTTTGAAAATAAGTAATCAGTAAAGTAACGGGATTACTTTTTGGGGGAAGTAATTAGTTACTGATTACTTTTTTCAAGTAACTTGACCAACACTGGTGAGGACTGAACCAACTTAACATGGGTTAAACCTCAAGTAACCTAGCCCCAAATGCTACGGATTTGCAGAATATGTACACAATTACATTTCCTAGTTCTATGTAAAGTGAACTGATGGCTTATATAGTATGATCAGGAATAATTTAAAGGACTGAAATTTTATTTTCTGTTTTAGACTAATTCAGTGAAGACCACTTATTTCACATTGGTTTAATATAGATATGGAAAACACGTTCCAGTAATTCTTCTCTTACCTCTCCTGTGTGGTTGAGACTCAGCTTGGGCAGTTTACTCTTCGCATTTCCAGAGTTTCCTCCATAAGCCTGACTGCTGTTAAATCCCTCTGTGGCCACTAGAGGGGGTTTAAGTTGGGGAGAGTCACTAGGCGCCTGGTCTTGGCCATCCATTGGTCGAACATACGCCGTAGGCTTCTGCTGTACAGCTATCGGCTTCCCTGATAGGCTACCAGGTGGGAATGTAGGCGTGGTCAATCCAGATGTGGGCGTGGTTAGACCTGGAGTGGGTGTTGTCAGAACTGATGTGGAAGCCAACGGGGAGGACGATGTACAGAGGTGGGAGCCTGTCTCACTTTCAAATGGGGAGGATTTAAAATATCCACCATTTTCTGCATTAGTGGAAGACTTAAAGTGGCCACCATCCATGGCAGTAGATCGAAAGTTGCCACCATCTGTAAAAAAAAAAAGAACACAACAATCAAAAGTCAAGACTAACCAAAGAAACACCTGTTATAACACAGCGTTGCTTAACTCTCTGCTGGCAAAACTTAATGAAGGTTGAAATGCTGAACCTCTCCCAGATGGATGTAACCAATCACAATCAAAGCAAATGATGTGTTCAACGTGCTTCTGAAATCAAATGCAAGATGTGGTTATCATAGAATGCAGATGTCAATTTTCATGAATTCCCCAAAAAGGTGACCGAGTGTGTTTGTTGCTGAAATTATTCATTCAAATGATTCATCTGTGCTCATGGCTCAAGCAAATAACAAAGAAACAGATTAAAGAGACTTTTTACCAGATGACACCTGGAATTAAGGACTTTCTGAGAGGTAGGTGAGGTGTGATCCCACTTTCCTATTTAAGCCAAAGATGAAGCTAAACCTAGGATTGTATTAGCTGAGGTTAGCATAAAGGTTGTAGTGGGGGCGAGACAACTAGGTTGAATTTGAACAAACTGTTTTAACAATTGTCAGCACTACTTTTACCATATAATACAAACCCATTGGCCTGCTGGGCCTAAGTTAACGAACCATTTAAAAAAAATAAACTCTAATATTAGCTCGTGCATCTTATTAGCCTACCTATTAGCCATTTTTGCATGTAAAATCACAGCTTGAAACAAATGTAGATAAGCTAAAAAAGAGACTAAAGAATCAAGTAAATGTTGCCATTTGCATGTACGTGATGGCACCAATACTCCTAAACTACTTTGGATGCAATGTGAAGCAGCCGTGACCCTTTGCAGCCGCCCATTCAGCACAAGCTCTTATTAAGGTGAGTGTTTTCCTCCGAACGGGAACGAGCTGCTGCAGAAACATAAATACGTTAAATAAATACGTTGACTATAGTGCAGAGAGAGCGAGGCAGGGAATTCGCAGACGGTCCATCAAAAGTCAGTTTAAGCAGCTGACATCAATTTTTATAAATGTGCATTCCTGCGCTCCTTTTATCAACTAACTTTGACTTGTGTATAATTTGCACTAACTGAGCATCTAGCATTATAGCAGGTGGATACTTATCACCTTCACTGCTAGAAACCCTGCTACGCATGATATCATGTAGACATGCTAGCCTGTCTACATGATATTTTTCTTAGAGTGCAGATGTGAAAGTTAAACAACCAAACGTCTTCTTTTACAGCTTTTTTTTTTTTTGCCGACTTACCGGCGAGTGGGTGGGTTTTGGCTGGGTGGGATGAGTGCCTTCTAGAAGAAGAGGAAGAGGAAGATGATGAGGAAGAAGAAGGGCTTGAATCTTCTTTTAGACCAAGTTCATCTTTGAGTGAGCTGAACAGCTCGTCATGTCTTTGCTGCTCATCCAACAAAGACATTTTCCCTCTGCTGGTGGTAGCTCCTGCTGTCACCTGCCCCTGCCCATTCTGTCCTAACCCCACAACAAGGCCTGTCCCCTGGGTGCTCTGTCCGTGGCCTCCCCTTGACCAGTCCATGGAGCTCCGGGACTTTTTGGAGTTCTGATGTGGGATTGCTGTTGATGAGGATGTGGTTGAAGGGGGTGGTTGCATTGAAGCTGTAGAGGAAGAGGGTGTATTCCCTGTCTTCTTGTCCCCACCTGTCTCTGCTCCTCCTCCTCCACCTCCTCCTCCTCCACCTGCTCCTCCTCTCAGGGCTTCGTTAAAAAGCTGGGATGGCTCTATGGCGGGTCTCTCTGTCGCTGACGTGGTCGGGGCTTGCTGCAGGTTGCTGTTCGCTGTTGTTCCTTTGGGGATTCCCACCAAGTGGCTCTGGTTGGAATGGCTGGTTAACAGGTCTTTCATTTCTTCATACGAGCCCAGCGTGTTTTGGACACGATTGGCCAATGCATCACCTTTATTAGTCTGAGAGGAGAGAAGGAAGACAAAAAAGACAAGGGGGAAGGGAGATATTAATTAAGCCTTCCATTCTTCCTTTTTTTACAGGTTTGATGAAAAGCCCTCTTTACTCATCTGGAAAAGAACAGTGAGAGATAGATAGGGTGACCACTGACCAGACATCAGGATGAGATGATTAATTAAATACATGCCACCCATAAGAGGGTCCAGTCCAGGCTGGAGTAGTAAAATTAATGGGGCAGGAATCATTATTAGCCTGACCCCAGATTCTCAGGCATTAATGGCTTGGAGGACAGTGCACGTTTTACTGATATATGAAGGTAAAGCTCTTTAGCTTCTACCTGGTAACATGGAGATGTTCCTCAGAATAGCTCAGCAGTACCTTTGGTTTCAGTCATTGACAGATTCTTTAATGATCAAACTGCACGATTTGATCATCTGGCATTTTAAAAAGGACACGGGTAATCAGCAGCGGTTTCAGCGCTTCTATTTTAGGAACCGGATTCTTGCAAAACGCCAGGAAAGAGGAGCAGGGAAAAAGTGAAGGCCAGTAGATTTTTATCCTATCCATTGACATTTCCTTTTTCTACCAGAGTTACAAATTGTGTAGCAAATATTAATCATGAATCAAGTCTGAATTATGCAAGATCTCCAGCCTATAATTTACGTGTGACATTTCATCATGAGCTGCAGACGAATGATGAACAATGGAAACACTGAATGAGATCAATGTCGAGTGTGGCCCTGTAATTTTATTGTACAACAGTGTTGAGGTTTGCTCAACAGATTTTCTCAGGTAGTTGACAGCCTGCACTCGTCTAATCAGCCCTGTGCTAACATTAAAAGGTAGTGTCAAATAAATGTGAGGTTGAAAACAACCTTATTCTAATTTTTGAGCCAAGGTGAAACTGCTTTATTTGAAGAGCTTAATGAATTTGTGAATAATGAATATGTAAGGTGAAGGTCATAGTACCAGTATTGGAGTGCAAAACAAATATATAATTATGTATCTATATCTATATCTATAATCTGTGTGAGGTTTCCTTATATCCTTTATTCTCCTCAGTAATGTCAGACTCTTGGCTACATGTTGTGTGGTTTTGTTTTTCCAATGCTAACAGCTTCAGTCAATAACCACATAATACTGTAATAACATGCAATGATCCATGGAGAGGTCTTATTGCTGAAGAGGGAATTGTAAGTGCTTGTGCGCATGCGTGCGCAAGTGTGTGTGCCACTTCACAACATTACAAATTAGTATAACACCACCCCAGTATTTGCTCTAATAGAGGGCCGTGTAAGTACCATTTGATAATAATTGCTATACTGTGATGCCCCCCTTTTTCTAATCATCACTGGTTTGACAATAGTTTATGACGCAGGCAGAGCCAACTTTCTCCTTTTTTATTCTGACCAGTTACACAAAAATCAGGCTAAACTATTACTAACTAAAATCACCAACAACAAGAACAGGAAAAGTAAAAACCCTGCGAGGTCCATAATTATCTGGACAATGACATTTTTTGTAAAATCAAACTGTACATATATGATTGAAATGCAGACTGTTTGGGTTTGACAAAAGTATTGCATGGGCTGTTTAGAAATTATAGATATTTTTATACTTTTTTGAGAAGCTCAAAAGTGGCTTAAAAATCCGATCATCCAACAAACTCTAAGAGGAGCCAAATCACGCTGGGCTTCTGGAAAATGAAGAAGGTCAGCATCATCAAAAGGCACTAAGGACCACAGAAGATAACTTTACCAAATATATCCAGGAACAGCCTCAAAGAGGTAGGTTTATCACTGTCAAAGGCAACAATGTAGACACACCGTCATAAATGGAAAGACAGACAGTTTACAACAAGGTGCAAACTGTTGGTGCAACACTCAAGACCAGATTATACTTTTGTGAAAAATACATTTCAAGCAATTTCTGAAAATAGTCTTTGGAAAGATGAAACTGATGCTAACTTGTAGCTTAATGATGGGACAAAAAAAGTATGGAGAAGGAAAGGAACGCTTCACAATCTGAAAGCGCCCCACATCATGTGTCAAACACAGTGGAGACCATGTTTTGTCATGGGCATGTATGTCTGCCAGAGCTATACTCTGCTCAGATTCAGCCAAATGTCCTGATTGGACAGCTTGGATCAGAAGTAATTATATGTGCTGTACTGGCAGTTCACCAAAATACCAACAATGTGTAGCCCAGTGGGGATGGTGCTCCGTAGTAGGGCTGCCACGATTAGTCGACTAGTCACGATTACGTCGACTATCAAAATTGTCGACGACTGATTTAATAGTCGACGCGTCGTTTGAAGCTTTGTAAGATCACAAAAGACGCTGGGATGAGTAGTAGGATTTAAGAGTGTAATAACGGACTGAAACAGAAGATGGCAGCACTGCATGTACAAGGATGCCAGCTGCCGTTAAACCCCGAAGAAGAAGAAGCTGTGTCCCAGAATTCATAGCGCAGCCCAGCTCAGTTTCCAACAATGGCGGCAGCTAGTTAGTTTTAATGTTACTCTTATTATTTTTTCTGGGTCACAAAATAAACGTTTAACATATTTTCAGGGAGAATGTAGCTGTGTAAACCTCAAATATCTGCTTAGTTTATCAAGACACCACATATTTTCAAAAGCGCTCCGACGTTTTCGGAGACGTCTGTTACCCACTAGCTCGATAGCTAGCCGGGGGCTAGGCTCACTAGCGCCGTGAGAGCACCGGACTCCCGGCAAATTGTTTTCAAACCCACCGCCGTCTTTCGCTACTCAGGTTAAACATGATATATAAGTCACTTAGATAACTTAAAAATGTTATTGTTTGGCTTTTTTCAGTATTTTATTTGTTCCTGAGTGAATCGGTTTGGCTGAGATTAAAGTTATAGTTTCTACACAACTGAATAAACGTCAAGCAGACAGCTGATTATCAGAAGTGTGAGATGCTCGAGAATTTACTCCGGTGTCCTGTTATATTTTAGATAGCAAGGAGTTTATTAAATTTTAATGAAATTTGCAGATTGTTTCGGTGAAGTTTAATAAACTATCATCTTTTCTTTATTTTTAGTTAGCACAGATCTTAAACACTTAAAGCTGTAAGCTAATGATAGTTATATAAGAGCAGATGCTGCTGGTGCAATAAGCTGTACGTTTTACGTCCAGTGGATGATGATCTGATTAGTCGACTAATCGCAAAAATAATCGGTGACTAGTCGACTATCAAAATAATCGTTTGTGGCAGCCCTACTCCGTAGGTAGGTAAAATGCTCATTGGTTGAAAAGCTATTGGCAGAAAAGGAAAAAGAAAAAACGTGACTTCCATCTTTCCAGATAACACAGGCTCTAAGCGAGCACATTTAAGCATCTTTAAAGTCTAAGCTAACCAGCAACAAGAGTAGCTCATTTATGGTGGTTGCACATATTTTAACACTGTCCCCTGGTGTCACACATGGTACACTCCTACAGCTTTACACAGGACCAATGAATAACCAGCACCCAACCATCTTTACTGAACATCTCTGGTTACACCAATATAGAGGTTAATAGAACTGATTCTTATGATTGTGTGTGTCACAAAAAGCGTCAACTCGAACCTATGCGAGTGGAAGGACCATTCATCTCTTCGTCACTTCACTGTATCCTTCAGTTTTAGACTCTAACAAAGCAGGAAAACCATGGAAATACCGAAATTAAACAGGGCAAAGAATCAAGCCTTATTTACAAAAGATTAACGCAAAAAAGGACAGAATTGCATTCAAATAATCTGAACAGATGTAATTTCTGTGTGCGCACACTCACACACTGGCACGCAAACACTACACACCGTGAAGTTAGCTGTGAATAAATTAGCCCATCTCTTCTCCATCTCGGGCTCATGAATAAAAGATCTGGTGGCTGAAGAGGAACAGAAAACACATTTACAGAGAGGCAAAATGGAAAACAGAGGAGAAGGAGAGGATGAATACCTATGTGCGTATGAATGTGTGTGTGTGTATGAATAGATCATCCCAAATAGCTGCTAACGGCATAACACTCTTTAACAGGATTAGAAGAGGGATTAGCTAATAGCTGACAGAGAGAATGAATACTGGAGAGAGAAAAGACAGAGGCAGAGTGATGGACAAACGGGAGATACGCAGGTACAGAGAGAAAACAGAGACTGGTGGTGGACAAAAAAAAAAGTAAAAATGAAGGCGAGTGGAGCCTGGAATTACTAAAGTTCTACAAATTGTATACATGATGATCATAAAGTGATGATACTGATCTATAGGCTGCAGTTCAGCACATTCACACAGATGAAGTGCAGCAAGGTCGCGCTGGCGCTGTTTAAGCCAGTATGAAGTAAAGCCAGCATTGAAAAATGAAATGTTTGTGTGTTAAATAAATCAGAAGAAAAAAGTAGCAAACTGTGGGACAGCCATTTTCAACTTCAGCAGAGAGACGCAGACCTAAGACACACATGCTTAACATAACATCAGGGAAAATAGAAACAGGAGATGGGACACGGGTATAAGTAAGAAACAAATACAGAGGACATGACAGGCTGGGGAGAACACACATGACAGATGGGGAAGACATGGAATGAGACACAAGGGGAATTTAATAAACAATGAGCTATAACAGGGGAACCTAGGCAATATAGAATAACCTCAAGGCTAACTCAATGAACTTAAGCCTAAATAATACAAAATAATATTAAAATACAAGAAAACTCAAATGACCCTGGACCATGAGAAATATTTATAGAAAAACAATATTTATAACAACTTTAATACTTAAAAATTGAATTTTAAGAGTTTTTCTATGCTCGAGCATGAAGATGAAGGTTGGTCACTAGCAGACCGTACAGGCTGAATTTGCTTAGGTAGCCTAACCTGATATGTTAATCAACAGTATCCTTTGCTCACATTGGTCATCTCTTTAGCTTGAAATTGAGAAAAGTTTAACTCACAACCCACCCGCTCCGTCACCTATTGCCAGTTGCAGTTTCATTGACTTTCTGTGGTCTCTGATTGATGCTTGTCGCTTACAGTGTGAATGCCCGTTTAGGAGTGAAAGAACGTCTCGTTCATATCTATGTCAGCTACCATGCAGTGAATGTGCTGTGCCTCAGCCACTCACTGAACAGAGTGCCAACAATGACACTGTTCTGGAGAGGGCCACAGGCAGAAGCTGCATATTTAGCTTAAAGCTACAGATAAAAAAAGAAAGAAAGAAAAGCTACAGACACCAAGACATCTTGGAAAAGAGTCAAATCCAGGGATATCTGTGCAGTATTTTGCACTGAAAATTCAAAGCCATATTCTTGTGGGACCTTTAAAGTGAAGAACTATATATAGCTGATGAAATGTATGGTATCCGGTCATTAAGTGATGACGTGAGGAATCCTACTTCCGGGCCAAAAGTAGTCTGCGTTTAATATGGCTTTTGTGTTGTTAACATGTTTAATGTTATGTATTTTCTTCTATTTGATCTCAAAAAGCTCCTAAAACAGTCAGTGATCACTGTTGACCTCCCTCGGCTTTTATTACCGCTAATCATTTATTTAAGCTGTTTTTAAAACCTTAGGATGTAACTACAGTCCAGCCCATGCAGCAGTATATGAATGACTAACCTCGTATTGTGGATGGATTATCTCAGTTGTTCTCCTGGCTGAAGTTTGGTCCTTTTACAGCATCCTGCCATGCGATTACATTTGTTCCTGACCACCGAGAACACTCACGATAACTTTTATCGAGTGGAAAAAAAGTTAGCTTGTTCATATTATGCTAACATAGCTGTGTCGCTAGCGGTCACGTAGCACATCATTATATACCAGCTAGCCCAACTTCAGTAACCCTACAAACGTCACTGCTGTTTAGTTTTCTGTCTTCATTTATGTTGGAAGTGATAGCAGAGCTGTACGTTTTAATTTGTTTCCAAAACCCCGCAGTCAGGACATGCTATATTGTATTTAGATAGAAGCTAGCGAGCTAACTCCCTGCTAACTTCTAACTCCGTTAAATGTCATAAATTCCGTTTTCATGGATGCCTGGATGTTAAACTCAATTGTTACACCTGGTAGAGCAGAACGCTGATCATTTTATTAAAGATGAAAGACTTTAGACAGTTTTTCAACTCTCAGTAATGCCACAGTGATCGTTTGATATATGGACCTGCAGCGGAGTTTAGGTCCAGACACGGCTAGTGACGTCAGACTGAACCACCGGATTACTGTTCTGATTTACACTCTTCTTCTACAGTTTAAATCTACCAAATCTAAAACAAAAACATTTCAGATTAAACAGGCTTCCTTTTAACAGGCCGCAAAATTAAAAGTACCTGCAAAAATACAAGCAGGAAGCAGAGCAAGCAAATGCACTGATTAAATTAATCAAATCACGACACTTTTAACTACTTATTGTAGACAGCAAGGCGGTGTCTAAAATTTCCGCCTTCCTTCCCACAGACCAGCCCGCACTGATCTTTGTACTCTCCCCACACATGAATCTTGACCTCACCTCAGCACCATTAATTAGCTGGAAACAATTAGTTGGAGTGTGAAGACAGTTAAGATTGGATTCATTATCAGAACAACCTCTCATTTGCTTTGCACTGGCCCCGAACCGCGAGCGGCGTCTTAGTGAGAAGACCTTGTGTCCTCTGAGTTCAGACGCAGCAGCGCTTAAACACGTTCTGTCAGGATTCAAAGCCAGTCTGTCCCAAGGTCGATACACTTGGCAGCATAACCAAGTGTTGAAGTGCTTGGTGGTAGCAAATGAGAGTTAACAAACCAAAATCAATTTTATACACAGGGGCATTCGAGTGGCCGTGGACTTCATGCGTGGCTGCTTCACTTTCTGCTAAAAAAACCCCAAAAATCTCTGAAGCGCCTCAGAAGATCAAGACCTTAAACACAAGGGCATTAAACTTCATTCCACTGGAGAAGAGCGTGGTTATACTAAAAATGAATGGTACAAAACATCTTTGGATAATTGCTGATTAGCCGTATCAATTCCTTTCAACTGATTGTTTCATATGATGCTAAATCACAGAGCAGTGCTGCTGCTGTAGAGGGGAGTCGCCCGTCCTCATGATTAAGATGTCGTAAATTCACTCCATGCCCAAATGAATTTCTGGTGTCCAGTACATCCACTTCTCCTTCCATGGAGATCAATCAAAAACTTAACAGCGACGTATTAAAACTGTCTCCGGAACAGCAATGAGGGAGCACTCGGCGCGAAGTCTCAGCTCAGCCACAGCCGCAGCTCAGAGCCTTACATTAGTTTTGTTTTTCAGTCTACAAATCTGAACGAATTGCCTTTTAATTTACAATTGAGAAAGTCAGGAGTGTTAATGTTTTCTCACATTTTTTTCACACTTTAGAATAAGTGACACGCAGAGCTGGAGCTCACACGTGCCTAGCTACTGCAGGAGCCATGCTAATGTCTCATTTAGCAACACCTGTACAGAGAACGCTACAAAATCACGCAAAACACAACGGGAATAGGAAGAATGAAAACAGAAATAGGAAAAAACAGATTTCCAAAAGCACAAGTGTTTCTGGGGAGACAATAACGCGACGGACCAGTTGCAGGAACCAATATGCTAAGAATTACGCTGGGAGACACGTGGAATAAGTGGAAGATCTATCAGTTTTGTGAGGAAAGAGAGGTAAGTGTGTTAGCCTAACTATTAGCCTAAATCTGTCATCAGTATTATATGAATCATGAGATTAAAACACACTTACCTGGCAGGTTTTGGTTCCTGCAACTGGTCCGTTGGGTTATTGTCTCCCCAGAAACACTTGTGCTTTTGCAAATCTGTTTTTTCCTATTTCTGTTTTCCCTATTTCCGTTGTGCTTTGTGTGCTTTTCCAGCGTTTTTCTTATTCCTGGTGTTTTCTTAAGTTGCAGTCTGTTTGGCCTCTCAGGGCCACCGTATCTTTCCTTCCTGCTGCTGTCAGACTTCACAACAACGACTTTGCAGCTGACCAAACACACACAAGTGCAATTATCGTTTTCTGACAACATTGCATTTTATTATGTTGTATATAGTATTTTATTCTATTCCTTTGTTTACAGTATCTGATACTTATTATTTTATTCTATTCCAGGGGGTTTTTTTTCTTAATTTTTGCTACTGTAACGTTGCACTCTCCACTTTCTGCTGTAACAAAACAAATTTCACATGTGTGGGACTAATAAAGGTTATCTTATCTTTAAATACACTTCCTATGGAAAAGTGTTACTTGCATAAAACCCACTGAAATTTCTCTCATTTAACATGAAAAACTGTGTTTAACAACAGAAATGACCTTAAATACAGACACTGTTTTCTGTGTTTCTCTGTGACCAGACTTCCCAACACTCTGTCACCCAACAACACAGAGAAAAATTCAACAGTCAACCAAGCTTTTGAGCTTTGTGTGTGATTCTAAAATGGTTAAAATAACATCCCAAAAAGCATAAATGAGTAATTATCTACTTGTTAACCATCAGTTAACCTTACTTTATAGGGTTCTCCAAACAAGTTGAATCCAGTAGAGAACAAGTCCTCATCCTGTTGGACCTCCTGGTTCCTCCTCTCCCACTCTCTCCTCTTCAGAGCGCTGCGCTCTGACTCCAGATGACTGGAAAGGCACAAAGAGAAAAGCTAGTTAGCATCCCCCCTCTGAGGCGACACATGGCCTGCCACAGTGGTTTTTAATGAGTATTGCTTACAAGTAGTATTTGGAGCTGCAAAGAGCATTGGCTGAAATTCTTTGTTTTGAACAGACTAGCGGGGAAGCTGGTAAAGGAAAATAGCAGGCTAAGTCATGTGATTATATCGTGTGAAAATGACTCAAGTTCCAGATAAACGAGGAGGAAAATAAAAAACCTAAACCCTGACATGAGTCTTGAGGTAAGAGTAAAAATGTAACATTCAGAATTGTAAGAAAAAGGTTTTTTTCAAAACTCAGTTTTCCACGTCGACATGGGAAACGCAGTTTCTGATATACCTAACTATGAACACGTAGCAGTTGTGGATGAAATGTTTGTACTGGCAGTTTTAAAACTGAGGAGTGTGTTCGTTGCCTCTTTGAGCAGCTCACGGGGTTTAAATTGTTATTTTTACTTAACTTCTGAATGAATTCCAGGAGTCTTTGGGTCGCTTTGCAAACTCTAAAATCTAACAAACCTGACTCACCTGCACCGTTTGGTTCAAAAGGAAAACATCTGATCAGCCAAGGTTATATATGCCAGAACTGTTGTGTGGCAGGTCTAGCACAGCAATTCTTTCTCTTCTTTTAAGTCCATATTTATATATCTACATATTTACTGCAAAACTTTGAAATCTGAAAGAACTACACTACAAACTCCAGTAGTGTGGGGCTAGGAGGGAATCCTACAACCTGCTTGCCTACCTACACTTACATTATATATATTCTAAACAAGCGTGACTATATAGGAAAGTTAGACTAACGTAACATTAACTGGATGGCACTGGAGGGGCAGTCAGAGATGGTTCAGGGAAAATCAGACAAATCTATTAGAAAAATAAATCATATCTAAAAGTGGTTTAAAATTCATTAGGATTCATGGCTGCTTTGTGACAACGTGAAGCAAATGATTATCATGTTTTTGTCTAAGTTTCCAAAGTAAATCAGTGAGGGAAGATGGTGCGCGCAGTTTGTTGCTTTGCTTATATGTTCATACTGCATGTCAGTGATAATTACGATGATGCTTTGAGGAGGACAGGCCTGTTTTTCCAATTAAAAAAAACGATTCAGCCACTCCATCCACCCACCCTTAGCCAAACCCCTGCTGGACATGTTACTCTACATGAATGCTCACTAAGAAATGATGTCACCCTAAAACTACGCGTTGTTTTTTTAAATACATAAAATAAAAACATAATTAGGTGCTGGAAGATACATTTGCCAACTTTGGACAGAGCTAAATGTTCCCCCGACTGTCCATCTGATGCTATGCTAATCCAATTACCTCCGGCTGCCTCCAGCTTAATACTTTCAAAGAAATCAAACAGTATTTCCAAAAACATTTAACTCCTCCTTTGTACAGCCTGTGTCATCTTTGTGAAAAGCTTTAGGGACGACTGAGTCAACAACAATAAATAATACAATTAAATGAAATTCTGAGTGACGATCATTATATACAGGCATAAGGCGTAACACACACACACAGACGCTCACAAATAATGAAGGCATGAGCAATAAATAGTCTGCTTCCTCCTCAGTATCAACCCTTTTTTTCAGATTTCTGTTTCCAGTGAGTTTAATGCTGTGATGTAACATATGCTTTTAGCTGGCTAGTTTCATTCATGAGTGCATTCATTTTTAACACAGGTGAGCCCAGTGGGGATTGTGCTCCTAATCCAGGCAGTGTTTACGACACGCTATACCCACTGAAGCACTTGAAAGGATACATTTATTTCCTGCTACGGCATCTTTGGATGGCTCCCAATCAAATCAGCTTTTAATCTTCAAACGTTCCCACAGAACGTACGATTGCTGGATTCGTGTGATTTAAAGTATGAAAACATTTAAAAAGGAGACAGCTGACTGTAAACAGGGACAGAAATGATTAGAATCAAAGGGGTTTGGTCTGTGGGGAGCAAAGGGGGCGGCGGTGAACCTCAGGTTTTTGGGACATTTTCGTTGCGTAACCATGTATTTTTAGAAAAAAAAATCTTTTACTGCACAGTTCCCAATTCACTCTGCCCTCCTGAACTTTCTTTAGTCACCAGCCCCCACTGAGGATTCTACAAGCTGGCAGCCAAACTGGAATCCCAGAGGCACAAAGTAATGTGTGAGAGTGTTTGTGAATACATGTTATGCATAAGCCCGTGGCCTGCTGACCCAGGAAAGGGCATCCTGTTTTACCACATCCACTGCAGAGAGATGAGACAGGCTGGCTAATTAGTGATCAACACAATTAAAAGAGACTTTCCTCTTTTTTTCCCACTACCAGGCCTTGCCTTCAACATTTCATCTATCAGCAAGATGTGAGTGGGAGGGAGAAAGAGCAGAGAGGCAATGAGAGGAAAGAGAGAGGGAGAAAAAAAATTGGAGACCCAGGGGAGAGAAAAAGACCCAGTTTCAGGGCAACAGACAGTTTCTTTAAAAGGAAAGAAAAATAAGAGAATGATGAAAGACAGAGCGGAGGGATGGGGAGAGGAAGGTAAGATAGGAAGAAGGGAGGAGCAAAAAGGAAGCTAGAGCAGTGGGAATTTCAGATGAAATGATTGACAGGTTAGGTAGGGGTGTGTGTGAGTGGATTGGGGGGATGCAGCGACAGAAATGTACGTAGATGTGATCATTGTGTGAGCTAGCACTGCTGGTTGACATGTACGTTGTCTGTCAGCGCAGAGAGATAACTGACAGAGCTGTCACGACCACAAACACACACGTATGGAGCACGCACACAGAAGCACACAGCCCCCACGTGACAGATCGCTGTCTCCGTCTGTCACACACCAGACATTCACACGAAGGGAATCGGGTCAGACGAGGTAATTAACACATCCAGGATTTATTTCCCAGCATGTGGCAGGGCTACAGAGCTACCTGTCACATACGGGTTAGCCGAGGCTTTTATGGCTCACACCTTCCTTCCTTCTTACAGGCCGGTTGCACGAGAGGTCAATCCCCCATCTTTCCTTCAAGTACAGCTCAAATGCAATTTTTCCAAGTATGTTTTCTGTCATATTGAGAAGTTCTGATCAAGGTGATACATGTTCGACTGTTATTTTTCTAACAAATTTGTTTTTCGTGAGTCATTTGTAGCTAGCATGTGTCACCTCTAAAGTAGGCTTGTTGCCAAGGCACCTGTGGATGTTTTGGGGAATTAGATGCAAAAGCTTTGAATCACTGTTTGCTAAATAGAAAATGTTCTCAAGTAAACTGTGCTAGACAATATTCACATCAACAGGGGAGACCTTTGTTTTTTTCTCGAGTAAGTCTGTGCATTCAAGTATTTCGTTATTTAGCAAGTTAATGTTATAACTAGCAAGCTGAGAGGCATCGATCTGAGTTACAAAGTATAGAGAAGAATAAAAATGACGTGTGCTCTGCAGTCTTAAAAACTTCAGACATGTAAAATCTGTGCAAATATTTAATTCCAAATATTGTAGCCATTCACACCAGCCACATAATTTTGCTCATGTGAATTTGCAGTCTCTTAAGCTCTGGACCGAGACATCTCCTGATATTGACTTCACTTTTTTCACAATGCATTGAGGCTGAAATATCCACAAAAACGAGTTTCAGTGTGTATATATAATTTACACAGGAAGTTCAGATCAGAGAGAATTTGAAATTTTCTTTTGCTTTTTCACAAAACACTCAGTGTATATGGGGCTTGAGCAAGACATGGATAAGTAAGATAAAAAGGAAAGAAAAACTGCCAGAAGAATCTATAGTGACAACTATTCAATTCAATTCAAT